GGAGCCATGTTAGAATATTGATATATCGAGCATGGCCTATTACACAACAAGAAAATCATTGAAAGTTTTGATTACTCTATCCAGCTACACTGTCCTGGTCTTGAACACTTTGCTAGGAGAGTTAAAAACATTTCCAGTAACCCAGTTCTAGCAGAATTTATGGGGGGAAAAGTTGCTAACCTCTTACTAACCAATCTAAATCAAAGGCAAGATAAAACAAGAGCTTACGGTTAATTTGTGATTCACCGATCTCTTCAATTTCACTCATGGAATGGACTTTTATTCTCCTTGAAAAGCCTAGCAATGCTGATTTCTTTGCAACATTTCCTAAGTACACAATGTGTTCAACTTTCGGTAGTCTGTCAATCAGAGCAGAAAGCTTGCTGAGCAAAGAGCTATCGGTGATAATAAATCGGACTTCTGATTCGTTGATGGCATGAACAAGGGCTTCATCTCCCAGAGTGGTGTAAACTGTAACAACTGAAAGTATGATGAAACAAAACCTATGTTAATGGGAAACCTTAAAAACAAATCATACAAAGAAAAGAGGAATTACAAAAGATGCATCAATATTTTAAAAAAATACATATCAGTCTATGATTATCATTACAAATTACAATATATCAGTCTTAGAACAATGCTGATTGTTTTTAATTACCACTGACAACTATCACGTGAAATGCAGTATTACATCATAGGAATACAAAATATGAATTGAGTTCTAAATGCGAGTTGCCCTCAATAACATTAATAGCAATAGTTTCAAACAGAAAATCTGCTGGATAGATCCTCATATTTTGCACGATTACCACTACGACTAGTTAACATACATGTACATTTGGACACTGAGTCAGTTCTTCAGATTTCTTTCCTTTCCTCTCTCATTTAAAACCAGATACCCACAGTAAGGGGAGGCCTCTTCCTCATCCAAACAGATACATGTACAAACATCTTTCTAATGATCTGCTATTGATTGCTGAAATATTCTTACTAAAAAAAAAACACTCCGTAACAGTACTGTTCTTTCCTCCCGATCAAAATCTACAAGAAACTGCCGTGTGCATGTGACTATCAAAGACAGGCTTTTCGCCAGAGGGTGTCCAGGCGTCCTGTGGAGGGCCACTTTCGAAAGAAAGTTATTTTATTTTTCATATGTTGCCTTATACATTGCTCATTTGAGGAGGCCCAATAGCACATTTTGGACAGCCACTTTTCAAATTCTGGCTAAATGCCTGATCAATGATAAAGGTTCTTTCAAACGAAAAACGTATCCAACTATCTAAGAAAATACATCCTTGAAAAGAGTTTATATAACTGTGAACAGCACATAATTCAAAGTAACATACTTGGAAAATTTTGAGCAAAACATCCCTGTGCTGCTATTATCCACTCAGCTTTTGTTTCAGAGATTATTGCAATGTTCTCTTTGAGCTGCTGTCCTAGAGCAGCCAATCCTCTTCCAAAGGCTCTTGCTCTGGCATCTACCTCGGCATATGTCAACCAGTTGTACTCCCCACAAATAAGTTTCTTAAACACTCTGCCATTGGGTTGCATTTCATCTTCCTCCCTGAGAACTTCGCGCGTCCCTAGACATTTTCTATATGGGTACAAGTTCACAGCTCGCCTGAAAGAAAAACATATTTTTATGAATAACTACATTTGTGACTAGACTGCTTATGCAAGCTCACGTCAATCAGAGATCAAACTGACTGAACCGGGTCAGTTTTAATATGAATATAAAAATTGCTAATTATTATTATTGCCCACAGTGGAAGTGACTGATGAAATTTCTTCTGTTACAGTAGAAACCTAAAGAAGCATTTTGCTAACAACTCTTGTGAGCTGGAAGGTACAGTGTAGATCTATAGCCCACACAATCATCCTGAGTTTTAGTAGCTAAGCAGAAGATGACAAACACAATCCACTGGTTTGTACTGATAATTAATATGCAAAATGATGATAGAATGACTTGCCCTTTATTTGCCTGCACATGTAACTGCAGTATAAGACAAAGTGCAATCAAATGATCACATAGTAGCATTCCCATGTAGATTTTAAGGTAAAAGGAAAAACGTCAGGTCAATATAGTAGGGAGTTTGAAATATCCCATAATCAGTGACCAATTTCAAACACTGAATGATCAATCTAGTGACCAAAGCTCTTTATAATATCCTCCACAAGCCACTGCCTTGAATTTTCTAGAAGCTGCAACATGTTATGTATTGTTTATTCAAGTGCCCCTTCAAATGTAAGAGAAAAAAAAATTAACATTGCAGGATCAAAGTACCAGCTGTAATTTTCCAGCATGCTCTGGCTTCGGGTGATTCCCTACATTTATGATGATTGATTTTTTTTTAATTATGAATGTTGAGCACTGTATTGTAAAAAATATATTTAAAATGAAAAATGTGGGAACAAATGCAATGACTACTGAGGAAGTATTGGAACTTGCACACGACAAAGGATAAAGTCTGCTGTTAATTAAGCTGTTTCTTCAGACATCGCAACTCCATGCATGGCCACATGGGTCTACTTGTTCATCCCAAGTGTCTAATTTAGTTTTGGCCTCAGGAAAAGTAATAATTATAAAACATTCCTGTTGGGGAAAAATGGTGACTTACTAATTTGGAATTGGCAAATACATTGACATATTTAAAGCGTGCTACCAACCTACGAGTGTCCAAGAAAAACAAGTTTATTTCAGGCAGTCTGGTAATGTAACTGCCATAAAATCTTGTCTAGTTTGTACTGTAACATGCAGCAGGACTGACCAGTACAAATATTGAAAAACAACCATTTTTAACGTAACAATCAAGCCAGTGGTGGAAGTGACAAACACAGTCTCTGGTTTGGTATATATACTAATAATTTATATGCAAAATGATGATAGAATGACTTGCCCTTTATCTGCCTGTACATGTAACTACAGTACAAGACAAAGTGTGATCAAATGATCACATAGTAGCATTTCAGTGTAGATTTTAGGGTATGGGGAAAAACATCAGGTCAAAACAGTGGGGAGTTTGAAATATCCCATAATCAGTGACCAAATGCCGAACATTAACCCATCAAACTAGTGACCAAAACTCTTTGTAAAATCCTCCCAACTTGTCTTGAGAGACTGATATAGAGCTATAGAAATGAGTATTGCAAAATTGAGTATTTACAAAATTAACAAAATTTTACAAGCTCTACCAAATGAAAGAAATGCCACAAGCCGCTGCCTTGAATTTTCTAGAAGCTGCAACATGCTATGCATGGTCTATTCAAGTGCCCCTTCAAATGCTGAGGGAGAAAAAAAAATTAACATCGCAGGATCAAAGTATCAGCTGTAATCTTCCAGCATGCTCTGGCTTCATGTGATTCCCTACATATATGATGATTTTTTTTTTATACTATGAACCTCAAGCAGTGTATTGTAAAAAAACATGCAGGTACAAGTGTGATGACTACTGAGGAAGTACTGGAACTTGCACATGACAAAGGATAAAGTCTGCTGTTAATTAAGCTGTTTCTTGAGAAATCACAAATCCATGCACGGCCACATGGGTCTGCTAGTTCATCCCATGTATTTAATTTAGTTTCGGCCTCAGTAAAAATAATAAACTGCAACACATTCCTGTTGGGAGAAAAAGGCGACTTGCTAATTTGGAATTGGCAAATACATTGACCTATTTAAAGCATGCTGCCAGACTACGAGTGTCCAAGAAAAACAAGTTTATTTCAGGCAGTCTGGTAATGTAACCGCTATAAAATCTTGTCTGGTTTGTTCTGTAACATGCAGCAGCACTGACCAGTACAAATTTTGAAAAACAACCACTTTTAACATAACAATCAAGCCAGCGGTGGAAGAGACAATAATGGTAATCGTCAATCAGGCGGAACATGGTGTCTAGACTATAATAAAGAAACAAACTGAGTTTGCCAACTCCTGCAACATAAACATTGCAACCACTTTAAGAGAGTAAATAGCTGTTGTGTGTGGCTCAAGAGGTAGATACTGTCCAAAATGTTAATATTACGCTTGTTATGTAAAAAATATACCAAACTAAACTAGGACTGAAAGGGTTCAAACTCTACTTTGATGTAGTTTGAGACAATCTGTTCACAAACAACGTAATTAGTATTTTTGTGCCTCCTTCCACACCTCTGGATATTATGTCTGCACAGTCTAATTTCTGATTTTGAAAAGTGTAAAGATCTAATCCATCAAGGCAGATTTTTGCTGTATATATTCCAAGCTTAATATTGATTTGGTTTCATACAGCACAAATTCCAGAAACCATTAAAAATATTACTTTTCTACCCTTTACACCGGCAGAGCAAGCGTTGACTCATTTCTTTTCCAGCCTGTACACAATAATTATCCACAATAGACGAAACCTTATATACAATTACATCAAAGCACCACAAAGACCCGTATTCAAGCTACAAATTTTACGTGTTTTGTACTGCGAACAATTACGGAAAAATATAGTACAATATGACTATCATTTAGAACAACGGCCGGTATAATCACAACATGCAAATCAAACTGCACAAATTAAAGCAAACTCAGGAACGAAAGATGTCTCTCCATGCGTAACCTTAAGCGCTTTAATAAAAAGAAGACTTTGGTCCTTCTAGTTTCTAAATACGTAAATGTTGCAATGAATCGACAACACAAAATTACCTTTGATCTTTGATATAATGGGATTAACAGTACATGAAAGTTTCACCTTGAATAACCTTGATCGATGTACCGAACGAGAAGCAAATAAGAGATCGACCATCAACCTCACGTGGAGGAAAACAAAGTATGTTTGGAAAGGAACACTGAATATCTTGGTATAAAACTGGTTTTATTAAAATACATCTCTTCAAAGCGGAGACGTTATGCAGCGACGTCAGAAATGACCCGTTGATCTGAAATCAAAAACCATCTACCAGCCTTTAAAACGCTTCAATTTAGGTCAAATGTTTACAACTTGTAGATCTTTGAAAACTTCTTCACATGCAAGGCTAGCTGGGCAAAAATTAGTTATTTGCTTGTCGAAGACGATCCAAAATATAACTCTGAACTGTACTTACTTAAATAGTTGATCCAACGTTGTGACACCATCGTACAGCGTTGTCACTAATGAATCGAAATGTTCCACACAGCGATAAGGGGCTCCTGGAAGTTGACTCACAGGCCTCGCTTGAACTTTATTGCGAGGTCGATACTGCTTCCTTCCCACTAGGTAGTACCACGGCAAAAAACTAACTACTCCCCATAACCAGCCGGCCATATTGAGGCTGAAAAGAAACACATTTTCCAAGAAGGTCCGCTCCATGCTACCTACACGTACACGTACCGTCAACAGACTGAACTCAAAAAGAGAGACACTAGTTGTGTGGCGAACAAAGTCCACATGACCCGTCACTCATTGAGATTCCCGCCGACCAGCTGCGCGCGCATTTCTGCTTGTCACCCCATTTTGCGTCAAAACAGACGATGATGAGGCCTCACAACTGCAGCCAGTTTTCTCTGTTATAAAAGCGTGTCCGTATTCTTCGATAAAAACTAAAATGTTTTTCAAATTTACCCGTGCTGAACGCGTCAATTCACGTGGGAGTATGACCCGAACTTTGACCGCATATAAATTATTTTCAACGCTATTGTGACGTCATATTAAATTAAACTTGACAGGGAGGAGGTGTGGAGTATTTTTGTCCCTCCCCTTTTTAGTAAAGGAATGTATAGGATTACAGTCTGCAGGACGTAGTTCTGGATTTTTGGGCTTGGTTTTGTATGAAATTCACTGATTAATTAAAGAAGTAGAAATATTGGAAAAACAAAACAAAAACATTTTGGGCAAAATGAGTGTTATTTATGAGTAACTACTTTCGAGTGGGCTTGTGTTAGTAATGCAGTTCACTTCTCGGGAAAAATTTACAGAAAAATGTATGCTTACTTCCCACAAACTATTGACACATCTGTGTTTAATATTTTTGCCTGGAAATTTTATGAATTAAATTGCACTAATTTACAAAAATAAATTCAAAGTGAATTACTTGAAACTGCCTAATAATTATGTTTTTTACCAGGAAAAAAAAAAAAAAAAAAA